TAGATGTGCATATATAAGAACAGAGAGCTGAGCAGTAGCAAGTGGGCATTAGTGGTGTTGGTGCTTTTAAAACTTACTGGGGCTTCTTTGATTTCCATAGTATTATGATGACTGGGGCCAGGTTTTCTTCTCCAAAAGTCTTACATTTTTCTCTTTAATGTAATAAAAGCTTATGCAGTTACCTGTTGTTTTCTTTATCCCTTTTGGCTATAGAACAAAAGAAAAAAATGAAAACAAAAAGAACAGAAAGAAAATGAAAATAAGTAATACAATATCTGTACTGCATACAAACAAATAATCAGATATATAATAAATATTAAGTAGGGCAGATATACAATTCTTGAAAACGCCCTCAACAACGAAGAGCAATACCCTCTGGTCTGCAATAACACCAATCTCTTTTTGGGCCACCAACCACGGCTTTAGATTTTCTACCTCTAACACCTCCATCCCTTTATTCTTGTTCACGTTCTATATGATACATCCAATTCTATGGTGTCATTTTTGACTCCAAACGGCCTTGTCGGGATCATGTCCTATAGTCAAAGCAGGAGACCGCGCTTGACTCCTATAGACACATTTTTTTTAATAAAAAAAATAATGACTAAAGCCTCCACCTGAAAATGACTGCAGGCTGTACGGGAGGGAAAGTACAGGTCACCAGCCCCAGACACACTGGTACCTGTGGTCATCAACCAATCTTTAGCATGCTTAAAATTATTACATAATAGTATTTGAAGTTGGTAAGGATTCTGAAGGTATTGCCTCTGGCGATAGCCAACCCCAGCCATTGCTTTAACCACACCGTTTCCTTAGCCTCATTGGATTCGGCCGAAGTCATCCACTAACGTGCTAGTGGAGGGCACATAACACCTGTGGTTTCGAAGGCAAAAGGTTCAAAGATGTAACGCTTTGTAAGGGACTGGTATTTAAGCCTTTTCGCATTTCCGTCTGCCGACAGTGCATGTAAAGCACATGAGATAATTTTTGTTTAGCGAAGGTGTATGTGCATGTAGCGTCCCAGAGCAAGGATTTGCCTCCGTGAACGGAAAGACTGTCATACCAACCGGCCTTTTGCCAATGCCCCCCCGATAATGTCACAGAGTGTCTGAGCAAAGCACGTCCAGCACTAAGCGAGGGGCATTTCACTACCCAAAATAGCGTACGAGATTTACGGGATTTCGAGGGATTTCCAAAGTTTTCAAAGGCGTTTAAAAAAACATTAAATCATCGTAAATGTTAAAAAAAAGATATTATCGGTTCTTACCTTGCAGGTCCCACATGACATACACTACAACAAGACATGACTGCTTCAAGTTACAGTAACCATTCAGATAGAAAATTCTTGATTTTTCGTTTTCGTCATAATCTGATGGATTAACCTCGGGATTAACAATGTGAGAATTGTTTAAACCAACTCCCTTCCAGAAATAGCCAATTTCTTGGAAATTTGAGCATCTAAAAAGAACAATCCTGTTTCTTAAAAATTGCAAGAATAGACATTGAAGTAAACTCACTTGACATTGCACGTACATTCATAACATCCTGTGCTACTATGATATCGATATAATGCTTTACCAAGAATACGCTTCGCCCTTATTGCTTGACTTAATCGTAATCGTTTATCCAGCATTTTTTTTTTGTTTCATTTTGACAAAAGTCTGCCCCCCCCCCCAAAAAAAAAAGTTCCGTAGTATTGGTAGATACTAAAAAAAATCTCTGTACCCAACTAGCCAATCAAATCGCTTGAAACTTGGCACATTGGGTCACAAAGCGATTTCTGACAATTCCACTTGTCCAATTTTTAAAGAAGGTTTGGAAGTGAAAAAATGCATTTCAGACATTAACATTAATCTAAAGGGGTATTATTTTAAGGCAGTACGGTTTATTAAAAAAAATCGTGACGCGGTTTTGCAGCTCAGAATCGATGGGGTACCCGAAGGAAAGGAATTCACAGCTTTGGTGATTTCCTCTTTCGTGCAACGGTGACAGCGGGTAATGCATTTGCTTTTAGTGCATTGATGGCAATCTCGCCACGGCCAACAAAGTCCTCCGTGGGTGTCCCGGGGTTCAGACCGCAAAAGACACCTCTAACTCCAAACCACCATAACCCATGCCCTCGTCAACTCCCTTACCAATCTTCAACCTTTCAACATTACTCTAGATAGCTGACGCATAGCAACTATCACCTGTCATCACCCTTTACTATACTTTCCTATAGTGCTATATGACCTTAGATGTCTAGCACATTTATTTCGCTTTTAACCATTAACCAACCTTTAACTCCACATTACCATAATACCATTACCATTTCCATACCATCCTCCCCACCCTTAATTTTAGTTTAAAAATTCAGGGAGTTCGTATTTTGAAAGTGAAACCTAATCAAGATATTATTAAAAGCTTTCTGTTTTGCTATATTAATACATTACAGAAGTTGAGAATGCTTTCCAACCTGGGCATAACATTCCAACATTCCTTTTGTGTGTCTGCAAATCCT